TACATACATACATACATACATACATACATACATACATACATACATACATACATACATACATACATTTCTAAACAATCTTTTGAGAAATGATTGTATTTTGCTGTCAAGAAAGGCTGATATTAAGGAATGGATATTAAAGCAGAATATCCTGGAAAGGGCCTAGCTGGAGCTCTGAAAAGCAGCAGTACTTCATAGTGTGACATTTTGTTCCTGACCCACTTGTGTTCCCAAAGTGCAATGATGCGATGGAGCAGAAAAACAAGAGGTGATTTTAAAGGTTCAAAAAGAAATGTGTTTCATTGTCTGAAAAATGCATTCGGCAATAACTTAGATCTGGAAAGCAGCTTCTTTGCCTGAAAAATATACATTTATCTTGGGAGGAAAAAACACAAAAATCCATTCAGTTTTGTGAAACTTTTGAGAAAAAATGCTTAAGAAAATAATTCTGAACCCTTTGACTGCCTCCTTTGGAGACAATTTCAGTGAAGCCTGTTGTCCTGAAACCACAATTAAGTTACACAACAGCAAGGAAACACAATCTTTTTCAGGCTAAGGGCTGCCCTTGACTTTTAAATTAATATGAGATCTGCACTCCAAAAAATGTGATCTGGTCAGGATAAATTAAATTGGGTTTAATTTAAATTTACATTCATTAACATTTAAATTAACTTACCTAAAATGGAATTATCAATATATTTGTTCCCATTTTGTTTAATTATCCTCTTACTGTCACATTAAAAAAATATCACACATTAATGGCCAATGTTGAAGTTTTGATCTGTGGGAGCTCAGCTGTGTGATGGTACAGTGTAAGCAACAGTGGAGTTAAAGATTATTCACTCCTTCCTTACAGAGCGATAATTCACTGCTTTGTGGACTTAAAATTCAACTTGGAGGAGTCCACAAAAGGTGAAGAGATTCAATGGGAGAGAATATATTTTCGTTTGCACTAATTTAGGCATAGATTTAGTACAGTGGATGAAGGGAGGGATGAGAATAAAGTTAACGTATAGTAAGTTATGCTGAAGGTTGCTGAGGGCGTGGCAATGTACAATGTTCTAAGGTAAAGGTTCCCCTTGCACATATGTGCTAGTTGTTCCCAACTCTAGGAGGTGGTGCTCATCTCCGGTTCAAAACCAAAAAGCCAGCGCAGTCCGAAGATGTCTCTGTGGTTGTTAGATATCCTCCCCCTCCGCTGACAGACTGAAAGAGGTTTCCATCAAGGTCCTCTGTTCCGTGGGAACAGAGGTTGAATCTCATTGGTCTAGAGGTATGACAGATCCCTTTAAAAGAGGATGCTGCCC